GTTGGGTTTAAAAATTTTTTTGGGCTTGGACTCGGGTTTAGACAAGCCCGGCCCAACCCGGCCCATTCCGTACCCTACTAGCACCTAATAGTGAAACTACTCCCCTTTTATGGCTATTCTGGTTTCATTAATTATACACTTGCTAGAACATCGTTTTTGTATATCAGGTCATATTTTATGAACTTCTCTCGACAGAAGACATTCTTCCTTTTTTCCATTCAAAGAAACTTTAATTTTACTTTCCTAATAAGTAATAACATTAAAGAACCATTGCAAAAAACTTGTTCATTATTTCCTGCATTTAACCGACATATTAGCAATATCGTAAAAAGTTCAAACAATATGTCTGAATACCTAGTTGCAAAAGTTTCTGATATTGGCGAGGGAAAAATGTAATAGATGAAATAAATACAATCAATAAGGATATTATTGTGATTTTTCTATTGGGTTTTGATGTAATTTTTTTGACTTAGGAAAGAAGTGGTTCTTGGAGACTCTGGTAATAAAGTTCTTTTATCAAAAATAAATGGTCAGATAAATGCCACGTCACATAAGTGTACGCATTATGGGGTTAGTATTAATTGAAAGGCAATGGATGCATTTGTTATATGCAAAGATATTGTGAATTACATGAGATAGATCTTTTTGAATTTAAGGCACCGCTTGTGAAAGGCGTCTTATCGAGTGATGGGCGTATAGTTTGGTAATTTTTTTTGGAGATGTCATTTATTAATTTGTGCGGATCGAGGAAAGAAATTTATACATTTATGAATATAGCCCATGGCATGGTGCTTGTTTTAACGCTAGTACTGGTGATATTGGTATTTTTTTTTGATAATCGATATATCTAATTTATGTTTGAATATGGAACGTCAAACAATTTATAAGTCTTTTCGATATTTAGAGGACGCTCCAGCATTATATAATTTGTTCAAATTCAAGGTATTTTCTCTATTTTAATTTTATTGTTGATTGAAAATTTCCTCGTCATATAATTTATTTGTATTCACCTTTTAGGTAATAACCAAAGAAGAGAATATTTATGTGGAGGCCGAAGAACAAGGTATTTATTATTTGAACAAGCTTCTAACTGTGAAATAGAAATCATGATTTAATCTAAGTGTTTTTCGTTTCTTTAAATGTTTGTTTTGCATTAACAAGCATTAAAATCTGGGAAACGCGCGCCAATTTGCAAAAAAGCTATTTCAGCGACCAACACAGATACTGTGTTAATTGTCGGTGGTGGTGCTTCAGGTAATGCAGCTGCGGAAAAGCTACGTGAGGTATTTTTTTGTGGTCTGATTATTAAATATCACTTCTTTTAATATTGCATAACGAAATGAGGGTGATTTGATTTTTTTGGATGCGTTGTTAGGACGGATTTACGGGACGAGTGTTAATTTATAGTCGGGAATCGTATTTACCTATTGACAGGTTCGCCATAAGAAATGATGAAGTAATATAGATTTTTATTTATTCTGACCTTCAATTATTCATAGACCCAAACTTAGTAAAAGCCTTGAACTTACCGCCGAGAAAGTGGCTATTCGAAATGATTCATTTTATAATGATCTTGGGATTTCTTTTCATTTGGGAATAGTATGTAATTCATTGTTTTTTATCACTGTTACTTTCTCATTGAATTAACTCTATCTAATCGAAATTGCTCAATTTTTTTTTCTTTTAGACAGCCACTGCCGTTGACACCAAATCAAAAATTGTCATTTTTGATAATGGCGAGAAAGTAAAATTTGATCATTTGATCATTGCTACTGGTGCAAATGTAAATAATATATACATATATATTTTTGTATCATTACCTTTTAATGAGAGATGAGGGACTCGTAAGAAGATAGTATTATAGTATAAATTATGACAGCCTTATAAAACTAAAAAAATCATTATTGTTATCTGTAGCCGCGATCAATTCCAATTCCAGGGATCGACTTAAATAACGTCTTCTACCTTCGCACTGTGCAAGACAACGCGAAAATTAAACAAGGTAATTTTTACAATATTATTATTTGGAGTACAAGAAAAAGAGACATTTAATAACGAATTGTCTTTTAGCTATTGGAACAAGTGAAAACGAGAAAAAAAATCTCGTGATTATAGGATCATCGTTTATTGGAATGGAAGTAGCTTCGGTAGTAGCCAAGAAAGCTAATGTCTCTGTTATTGGAATGGAAAAAGTAATTATTAACTACAGCGAAACCTCTCCAAATGCACCCTGGGACCATATTAAAAAGACACTGGGTGCATAATTAATTTGTTTTTTGGGGGCATTCCTAAAAGGTTCCTTTTGAAAGAATTCTTGGTGAAAAACTCGGGGCTGTTGTAAAGAAACTGCATGAGAATAATGGGATTAAATTTTATTTAAATGCTGATGTAAATAATATTGAATCGTCAAGTAAGAATTTCTAAATTCAACATTGGTATTATATTGTTTTTTTCAAGAAAATTGTAATTTATATTATATTTTTCTTTTCCTTTAGCTGTGGACTCAAACACAGTTGGCGCTGTTGTATTATCAGATGGAACAAAGATTTCGGCTGATCTTGTAGTAGTTGGAGCGGGTGTTGCTCCTTCCACGGTAACACATCTAATCTGATTTATTGTAATCATTTATTCCTTATTCAATAACACGTCAACATCAATCAGGATTTTTTGAAAAGTTCACCGGAATTTCCGCTTGAACGAGATGGCAGTTTACGCGTAAACGAGTATTTTAAAGTGGAAGGACTTGACAATATTTACGCGATTGGTACGATTATAAATGTTTGTTCATTATCATTATGATTGTTGTAGTTCGTAAGTCTACTATTTAAGAGATGTTAAAAATTAAAAATTGAAATATAATTTTTGATCGTATAGGTGATATCGCAAGCTATCCATATCATCTCACTGGGGAAACATTACGAATTGAACATTGGGTATATAATTTAATTCTATATAGCAAAAAAATGAGTTCATTCAAACACAACCTTCTATATACTTTTAATAGTCATACGCCAAAAACACCGGGCGTGCTGTCGCATCAGTAATCGCAAAAAACGAACTAGCACCATTCCAAAAAATCCCCTTCTTTTGGAGCACTCAATACGGTAAAGGATTACGATACGCAGGATACGCGACTAGCTTTGACGATGTGATTATTCATGGGAATTTGGATGAATTCTCTTTTGCGGCTTATTATGCTCGTAAATATTTCAATAAGTTTTTTTTCGTATTGTATATTATATATACCACATAACAATTATATCTTTTTTTCACCATTACTTTCTGCCCATAAAAGGAGGAGAAAAAATTATCGCTGTAGCAACAATGGCCAAAGATCCTATCGCAGCACATAGCGCTGAGTTACTAAGATTGGGTAAATTCCCGACTACATCGGAAATTCGGGATGGCAAGAATCCTCTTGATGTGCCACTGAGCAATTAACAATGATATATATATACGCATTTCCTTGCTGGATCAAGTTCTTTTCCCGAAATCTAGGGTTATAGTCTAATGGGAAAAAAGTCATTGGACTAATGTCTATTGGGGTTTTTTTACGTCTAATGTTTTTAACACGCATGCAAACTCGATTTGGTTAATTTTCTTGATTTATAGTAAATTATATATATTTAATTTTTTTTATTTGACAAGGATCAATTTGGAGAATGCAATCATTTACCCTGCACTAAAGTTGGGTGCTGAAAAATACATATTCCGAAACTCAGGATTCGGTTAGAGTATTTATTGTCATTTTGCCTAAATTCCCAAATGGGTGATATGAATAACTATGGTAGACCCTTGGAAAAGGGCTCAGAATATAGTATACCGATACAGATTATTCTGATTGATTTTTTTACGTTAGCTATAATCTTCTCTCATCTTAGAATATGCAAAAAAAGATTTCATCCAACGTTATCTTATTTGATAAAAAGTTCGTGGATTTCGTGTTTTTTCTACTATATTCCAGAGTTTCTGTCGGTAGCATTTTCTTAAACTTTCCAAAACAGAAAATAAAATACCTACAACATAGTTCTCAGTATGCATTATGTTATTCTGATCAAAACAACATATTTTTTTGTTCGTTATTTCCTTCCCAACAGAGAAAAATAAATAACCTAGAATTTGTTTCAATTTTTAAAATCTTTCAACTCTGAGACAAAATTTTCAAAATTTGACCGGTAAAATGAATATTTACATATAATCATAATTGGTTAGGTGAAATTCGCGATCACTTGGTGAAACCCGCTTTTTACTGGTCATGTCAGGTGAAACTTGCGTCAGCCGCAATTAATAAAAAATGTGAAGATAATTTTACATACAATTTTTTCACTCTAACCCTTCCCTAACCCAACCTAAAAAATAACCTTTAACGTTAATTGTCTGTAATTACGTGAACGTGAATTTTTGTTGGCGACGATGGGATAGTTAATAAAAAGTGAGTTTTGCCTGTAAAAAGTGGATTTTACCAAGCGATCACGGATTTTTACCTGACCAATATTATAATTTGTGAAAATGTGAAAAATATGGGAAATGGATATCTAAATCCAACATAGAGATCTAATAAAAATGTTGTGAAGACAATTTTATAATTCTTATCCTAATTCAAATAATAAAATCAATTTTTAATAGTTGTTGGTACATATATGATCTGTACATTCTTATTGGTTTGTTATCATGTGATCATAAATCACATTCAAAAAGATCTATAAAATATTAGTATGATATGGATGCATTTACTAATTTCTCCTTTTCAAGTTTTGATTGAATACAAGTAATTTTCATCACTAATTGGTTAATCGCATACCAGATCTTCTAGATTAACCAATAAAAATGCATAAATTTTTTATTAATTCAACAAAACAAATTTGATACAAGAAAATTAAAAATAAAATATACAAAAAACAAATACTTAAATCTGTTTTAAAGCACTAATAAAAATATTGAGGAGATAATTTTATATATAATCTTGATTTTCACTCTAATGCTAAAATTAATCTTTACTATTTTGAGATTTTATATATAAAAGTATTTCAAAATGGCAATAGTAACTATATTTATTTTAAATTATAACTGAATGATATTTATAACAAAATAAAATAATAAAACTAAATTTAAAACAAGGCTAAACTAAAAGGAAACTTAATTAAAAATTATTAATTTCAAAAATAAATTAAACTAATATAATTAAACTAAACAAACTTAAAACTAAACTAAAAAAAACTTAAATTCAAACTTAGAAAACTTCAAACAAGAACTGGAAAACTTAAATTATTAATTATCAATATTTGTATTTATATATTTTCATATTATAATAATATAGTATAATATAGTAATATGCAATATAATACAGTATAATACAGTTGCAACATAGCATATGATATATTATTGCTAATGATATGTAATAATAAAAAGTTTTTTCACTTTCAGTATTAATAGTTATATAAGAATATGAAAGAGGATAAATTAGAATAAAATAAAATTAGAATAAAATAAAATTTAGTGAAAACAAAGATAAATATCTAATACCTATATCAATTTTTATAAAAATTGTTAAATAATCTTATATATAAAAAAATAAAGAGTTTGAAAAGATGAAATAATTAAAGAAAAACTATATTAATTAATAAAATATTGATTGCAGAACTATTATATTTATATTTATATTTATATTTATATTTATTAATATTAAATAAAAATACTAATACTAATTAAAATAACAAAAATACTAAAAAAATTAATACACTTATTTTAAAATTGAGATATTTAACTATATTAATTAATATAAATACTATTTATTAAAGTTATAATATATTATTACATTTATTTTTAAAAATTCCTTAATTAAAGAATCTTTCAAAAATAGTAGAAAATATAAAAATCTTTAAAAATAGTAATAAAATAACAAATCAATAAAAATAGTTTACATATATTAATTATTTAGTAATTATATAATTTTTATTATTATTCATCTTATCTGTCTTTTATATCTTTATTTTCTACCTTTTCTATCTTTGTTATTTATCTTTTCTATTTTTTCTACCTCTATTATTTATCTTTTCTACTTTTTCTATCTCTGTTATTTATCTTTTCTATCTTTATTATTTACTTTTCTAATTCATAGTTGTTTATTTGGATAATATAACTATATATTTTTCTATATTTGAATAATATTTTTAACATCTTCAAAAAACTTTGCATTGCTAAATTAAAAATACAACCAGAAAAATATTATTTTGAAAAAACATCACTATTATTTCTTGACTATAATATTGGAAAGAATAGAATTAAATCTGATTTAGTCAAAGTTGAAAAAGTTCAAAGCTTTTTAGTACTTATTAATTTAATCACACTTAGAGATTTTGTTGAACTTGCTTCATATTATTATTGCTTCATAAAAAGATTTTACCAAAATAGCATTATTTTTCTATCAATTATTTTACAAAGATAAATTTTTTATTTTAATTGATAAACAACAAAAAATTTTTGAAGAATTAAAATAATATCTAACAACTATACCAATATTAACATATTTGAATTTTAACAAACTCTTTATATTATTTACTGATACTTCTAAAATTGAACTTGGAGCTGTTCTATCACAAAAAGATAAGAATAATTTAAAAAGAATAATACAAGTAGAAGAATCTCACAAGCTGAAAGCAAGTATTAATAATTGAATTAGAATATCTTGCTGTTCATTGAGGAATCAAATTCTTTCATCCATATTTTTATTTTTATACATTATTCCAATTATGCTACTTTAACTTGGCTATTCAATAAACCAAGTTTATCTAAAAGATTATCTTACTGAATAATAGAACTTTAAGAATATAACTTTGAAATAATCCATAAAAAAGATAAAATTCATTCCAATGTAAATTCACTTTCAAAAATATCACACACATCAGATAATAATAATCATCCAAAATGAATTTGAATAAATATGTTAACTTATATAATTATTTTAATTTACTCAAATTACTGAATAATCTTTTAATAGATCAAATCTAAAAATTTTTAGCCAAATTCAAATAATATTTTATTAACAAAAATTATCTATATAGAAGAAATAAACTCAATTCAAATCAATCACAACAAGTTATTAAAATTATTGAAGTTGAAATAGTTCTATATAATTAGATATTTTAATATTGAAAATATATATCATTATATATATTAAAAATACTATTAGTCTCAGATATACAAAGATATTAACAATTATATCAAAACATATGACATATGCCAATGCAAAGACAAAAGTAAAAAGAATAATAAATTGATATCAATATCAGTAATTCAACTATTTGAAAAATTGATATAGATCTTATTGGATTATTTCTATTAATATATAATAATAATTTCTATATTGTTATCATTCTTGATTATTTTACAAAATGAGCTAAAGCAAGAGCCATACCTAATACTGTTACTGTAACTATAATTCTATTTTTACATGAAGATATCATATATAGATATGGATATTGTTCTTATTAATTCAAAAATTATTAAAATTAATAAACTAATAAAGTAATATAATAATAAAAGAACAAAGACTGAATGAATTACAATTAATAAAATTCATTAAAGGTTCTAAAGATCTCCTATGATAGTTTGTATGCAAACTAACTAAATATTATCAATAAAGAATAGAAAATAAAGTGCAAAAATAAAAAGAATTAAAGAAATTAACAAATAGTTTCAAAATAAATAACAAGACTTATTGATAATGTCTAATGAAATAAAATAATAATTGGACTTATTAAGAGTGCCAATTATAAAATATAAACAAAAATAACTAAAAATAATCAAATAGAACTTATTGAGACTGCCTAAAAAAAAATAATAAAATCAAAATAATCAAAAGTAATAATGTCAACAGCTTATTTAGAGTGGAGAAGCATTTACTACTTGTAATTCCAAGATTTAAAGATAATTCACAAAAATAATAGT